GGAGTAGATGCCTAATGGTATCCTTTGACTGTTTTAAAAACGAGTGTTGTCACGTCACGTGACTTCTTCAGTAGGTCCCTAGGTCAGGAGGCCCTAGGTCCTACTGAAGAAGTCACGTAACATGACGACACACGTTTAGGCGGAGCCGGGAGCAAGTGATATTGAAACCAGAAGTGACGCGGGAGCCGCAGCCCCGCTTGTCTGCATGATATGCTTGTACTTTTACTTCCTTTTTGTAAGTGTATTTTTAGTAATAAATTATATTTTTATGCGTACATACTTCACTATGGAATACTTTTTGCTTTATGCGGGCACAATATAGAAGATGATGGAATCGTGATTCAAAGGGCCAGATCACAACATATGGGAACTTATCCACCTTGTGTTTGAGTACCTTATGAATAAATACCTGAGGCTGCACTGGAAGGAGAGATACTGAAAGGAGTCCCAAATAGGGTAAAGGCATTTGAGACCTGAAATTATATAGGTCCAGTCTTGAAGGTGAGCACAGTGGTGAATGGTGGTGGGTATCACCACGTATGTTGGTGTGGAGGATCACAAGAGGTGAAATGCAGATATATTCTATATGGCAATTGTAGAAGAAATTCACAGCATATGCATGGACACTTTACACTAATTTGTTATTAATATTTATTCACTTTCCGTGATAAATGGACTTTTTATTTATTCTTTGTCGTTTATCATTCAAAGAAATGTGTATATTGGTTTGATATATTGAGTGGGAGGCGTAGCAATATATCTTTTTTCACTTATTTGCATTGGTTGTAGGAGCGCAATTACATTGCTAGTATCTACTCCCGTTTTAGTACATACTTTTATAGTGTATAAACATATAATTAGTACACACATTGGATTGAACTAATATATTTATTAACAGAGGCGCGGGATACATTCACTTTATTTATTCCTTAGACGTAGTACAAGCTGTGAGGGTCTACTTAAAGAGGTCAGCACAGTTCAGAAGATCAGATTCCTTGTTTGTTCTACAGGAAGGGCCCAGAATGAGGCAGGCATCATCCAAGACAAGTATTTCTCATTGGATTCGCCAAGTAATAGTTCAGGCTTATGGCTTGAGGAAAAGAGCTCCACCCTTTTGGGTAAGGGTGCATTTGACCAGAGTTATGGGAAAATCTTGGGCAATTCGCCATCAGGAATCGGTGGCTTGGGTTTGCAAAGCAGCTACCTGGTCTAGAGCGCATACATTCACAAGGTTCTACCAAGTGGATGTTAAACCTACAGAGGATATAGCCTTTGGCCGCAGTGTGTTCTAGGCAGCAGAGTAGGTCACTGGGCTGGTGGCGTTTTTTTTTCTGTGACATGGGTCTCCCTCCCCTCAGGGGCATTGCTTGGGCACATCCCAGATAGTAATGAATATAGCATTCTCTGTGGCTCGTGATGTATGACAAAGAAAATTGAATTTTTTTTTCTACTTGCTTACTTGTAAAATCCATTTCTTTGAGTACAACATGGGACACAGAGGTCCCTCCCCTCTTTCTAGAATGTCATTGCTTTCTACAAAATTGAGGGACTTCCTGTGTATGAGGCGCTCTCAGTGATTGCTGTGTCCTACGGACACAGATGATCATGTGATGTGGTAAAAGGCCAATCACAGTGGCCTTTTACCATGTGATCAGCTGTGTCCAATGACACAGCAGATCACTGGTAAATGCAGTTGCCGGTTATTGGCTGCACTTTCCTGTCACAGTGTGAGTAAAGTGCTGCCAATAACTGGCAATTGTCAGAGAACAGATTGGCCCTGATGATCAGTGCCCACCAGTGCTTCCCAGCAGTGCCACTTACAAGTGCCCAGCAGTGCCAACCATGTATACCCACCTGTGTCCAGCAGTGCCACCCACCTGTGTCCAGCAGTGCCACCCATCAGTGCCCATCAGTGCTGCCTATCAGTGCCTACCATTGTTGCATATCAGTGCAGCATCATCAGTGCCGCCTATCTGTGCCACCTCATTAGTGCCGCCTCATCAACGCACATCAGTGAAGAAGAAGAATTACCTGTTTGCAAAATTTTATAACAGAAACAAAGTAAAACTTTTTTTTTTTTCAATTTGTTGCTTTTTTTTTTTTTTTTTCGTTTATAGTGCAAAAATTAAAAACACCCAGCAGCTAATAAATACCAGTAAAAGAAAACTCTATTTGTATGAAAAAAATGTCATATGGGTACAGTGTTGCATGACCGCGCAATTGTCATTCGAAGTGCGACATCGATGAAAGCTGAAAATTGGCCTGGGCAGGAAGGGGGTATAAGTGCCCAGTAGGCAAGTAGTTAACAAAGAAAACCCCTTCCCATTTCATGCTGTCAGCAATGGCACCACATGGAAGAGAAATGTCACAAGGCCTGAGAAAGAAAGTAATTTCTTTACACAAGAAAGATGAAGGCTACAGGAATATCAGAAAAGCTTTACTTATCAGTCAGAATACTGTAGCAAAAGTGATACAAACAATTAAAATGGAACTGTAGCCCTCACACAGAGACACCCAGGCCATCCACGGACGGTAACATTGTACAATTCACAAGCCTATCCAGTGCTCACACAATGACGGAATTAATGATGTACCAGTCCACAAGAATTGGTGAGATGAAGACAAAAATACACAGAATATAACCCGAAATGTGGTGTGTGACAATGATATGTCAAGCAGTCAGTTCATCCAAGTGGCATGCAGAGTAGGGAAAGGATGGACAATAGGGACTAAAGCATACACAATGAGGCCGGCAGCTCCTCACTAAGGATGTGGGGAGTCCCTCAGAAGCATGCAAAAGAACAAGCAGGGCGCCAGATCAGCATGGGTTAAAACATTGAGACTTTATTACAAGAGCACTTACATGTAAATCCCCCTTGGTCAGCATCCGGTATTCGTGCAAATAGCAGAAACAGTGAAGCCAAGGGTCACTAGGATAGTGGAGCCGATGATCACTGCATAGCCTGGGGAGAGAGACCCGCTAGATGGACTCCGCGGCGTTTCTACGTGCATTCCCGCTGAGTTATCAGGAGATGTGACAGGTGCCGTGAATAGCGTGTGGGGGCGGGCCGCAATGCATTTCAGCAGCTTCGCCTCCTTTGTCAAGCAGCTTCCCGGATGCTGACCGAGGGGGATTTACATGTAAGTAATATAAAGTCTCAATATTTTAACCCATGCTGACCTGGCGCCCTGCTTGTTCTTTTGCACACAGAAGTTAACACCTTGACAGAAGTCTGATGAGAAGGATTGAAGAGAATCGACAGGAGCGTCTTCTGATGAGAAGGGTTAAAGAAAATCACCATGCAAGTTCACTGCAGTTCGCTAAAGAAATAGAAAGCCAGACTGGGGTGATTGTTTCCTGTGACACAATATGGCGTACACTGCAGAGGAATGGCATGCATAAGTGTTGTCCACGAAGGATGCCTCTCCTAAAGCCCATGCACAAGAAAGCCCTCCTAGAATTTGCCAGGGCCCATGCTGAAAAAGAAGATGACTACTGGGATTCCACTCTGGCATGATGAGACCAAGATAAATGTTTTTGGAACTGATGGCTTCAAAACTGTATGGCATTGCAAAAGTGAAGAGTACAAAGAAAAATGCATGGCGCCTATAGTGAAACGTGGTGGCGGCAGTGTCCTTCCTTCTGTGGGGCTGTGTGAGTGCTGCTGGTGTCGAGCTGCATTTCATTGATGCTATCATGTAATCACTGATGTACTGCTCTATATTGAAAGAGAAGATGCTACCATCACTCTGTGCCCTTGGTCTTTGTGCACTGATCCAAATTGCACATCTAAGGCTTCTGTTGCATTTCTGAAGAAGAACAAAGTGAAAGTGATTCAGTGGCCAAGTAAGTCTCCTGGTCTGAACCCAATCGAACAACTATGGGGAATTCTGAAGAGACAAGTTGAGCGTCACTCTCAATCGAGCATCCAGACTCTAAAATAGGTTGTTCTTGAAGAATGGAAAAAGATCGATGTTGCAATATGTCGCCAACTTGTTCATTCCATGCTTAGAAGACTTGGTGCTGTCCTTATTAATCATGGAGGTCATACAAAATACTAGATTTAGTAGTTTTTGCATCAACTAATTTGAGTAAAACTGAAGATTTTGTAATCTAAGTTATATTATTAACCTTACTTTCATGTAATGATCTAAACAAATGTTCTATAAAACTCCGTTGTGTCAAAATGTTGGAAATTGTTCTTTTATTCATTGAGATAATTAAAATCTTACTTTTCAAAAGGGGTGTACTCAATTATGCTGAACACTGTATATAAATAGTGAATAAAAATGTAATTGATACTATATAATGTGCAATGGCAATTTTTTGTAGCGCTCTGCTTATGCCATAATTGTATGTATGGCATCACAAATACCAACAAAAACGTGTCTCGTGTGTGTGGCATCCCAGTCTTAGTCCTTAGGATTCAGTATTGTGTTGGCCCACACTTTGCAGCTGTAACAGCTTCCACTCTTCTGGGAAGGCTGTCCACAAGGTTTAGGAGTGTGTCTATGGGAATGTTCGACCATTCTTCTAGAAACGCATTTGTGAGGTCAGGCATTAATGTCGGACGAGAAGGCCTGGCTCGCAGTCTCCGCTCTAAATCATCCCAAAGGTGCTCTGTCAGGTCGAGGTCAGGACTCTGTGCAGGCCAGTCAACTTCCTCCACCCCAAACTCGCTCATTAATGTCTTTATAGACCTTGCTTTGTGCACTGGTGCGCAGCCATGTTGGAACAGGTAGGAGCCATCCCCAAACTGTTCCCACAAAGTTGGAAGCATGAAATTGTCCAAAATGTCTTGGTATGCTGATGCCTTAAGAGTTCCCTTCACTAGAACTAAGGGGCCTAGCCCAACTTCTGAAAAGCAACCCCACACCATAATCCCCCCCACCACCAAAATTTACACTTGGCACAATGCAGTCAGGCAAGTACCGTTCTCCTTGCAACCTCCAAACCGAGACACGTCCATTGGATTGCCTGATAGAGAAGCGTGATTGGTCGCTCCAGCAAATACATCTCTGGTCCAGTGGCAGCGTACTTTACACCACTGCATCCAACGCTTTGCATTGCACTTGGTGATGTAAGGCTTGGATGCAGCTGCTCGGTCATGGAAACCAATTCCATTAAGCTCTCTACGCACTGTTGTGCTAATCTGAAGGCCACACAAAGTTTGGAGGTATTTAGCTATTTACTCTGCAGATAGTTTGCGACTTCTGCGCACTGTATGCTTCGGCATATGCTGACCCCGCTCTATCATTTTACGCGGCCTCCCACTTCATGGCTGAGTTGTAGTTGTTTCCCATTTGCTTCCACTTTGTTATAATACCACTAACAGTTGATCATGGAATATTTAGTAGCAAGGAAATTCAGTGAGCTCCGAAGAGCGACCCATTCTTCCACAAATGTTTGTAGAAGCAGTCTGCATGCCTAGGTGCTTGATTTTATACACCTGTGGACATGGAGGTGATTGGAACACCTGAATCCAATGATTTGAAGGGTTGTTCCAATACTTTTGGCAATATAGTTATATACACATTATACTGTATTAGTGTGTGTATATACAGTAGAGGGAGTGCAAGACGCATAACAGTCTCCTCTCTATTCTTTGTATTTATATCTTATCTTTTATTTCATAATCATGTCTGCTCTGGTGGGGAGACTGAGTAAGGACAATCTGATAAATGAATCCACCAAGCAAGGCAGGCAGGAACACATCACAAATAAAAGGAGGACCTGATTATTGATCTAAATAATGCAGGTATCCAGGCACAGTTGATGCTGGAGGAGTATGCAGCAAAAGAGGCTCTGTCTGTCTTTCTTTTGGTTCTGGTACAACTCAGCTGAGTGAGTTTACAAGCACTGAACTTGATGTACCAATGAATGCAATTTCTGTCTGAAGTAGAAAATGTTAGATATTGTTTAACCTGATGATAATGTATTGCCGGTGTTAGTGGACACTTGTAGTGCTGCAAAGACTGACAAAGTGCAGTCTCTGGTCACAGAGCAGGGTAAATTTACCCATAGTCCGTCTTTTTTTTTTTTTTTTGTTACCCATTGTTCTCAGCCTCCACCAAGCCTCAGCTGCTGTTTTTGTTTTGCCATGGGACACTTGGCTGGGATTTGTAGTTCCAGCTTAAGGCAAGTACTGCGGACTGCCAAGACTGGAGAAGCTCAGAAGCTTAGCTTCAATCCCTTCTGTGGAGGGAGAGAAATATAATGTTGGAAAGTTGTACAGAAGGATTCTACCTACTGAAGGCAATGAGGCAGAAATGTTGAAAAGGCAACTCATTGTACCCCACCAAGGTAGTGCATGAAATTCCCTCAGCAGGTTACTTGGAAATTGCTGAGACTAGGGTCCAAGTGATGCAAAACGATACATCCTAACCGTAATGGACTATGCCACCGGTTACCCTAAGGCTGCCCTCATAGGCCTCCCTCAGGGCAGACAAGTATACTGATGCTTTGCTAAGAATAAGAGTCAGGTCCCCTGCAGAGCTCCTTAGTGATCAAGCCCCACAGTTTATGTTCAACCTGATGCAGACTCTCTGTCAGAAAATACAGATGACTCATATTGTGGCTACTCCTTACCACCTGCAAACACATGGCCTATGTGACCATTTCAATGACACTTTGAAACTGATGCAAACAACATTTGCAGAGTTGCAGGGGAGGGACTGGGAAAGCTTTTTGTCTCAACTACTTTTTGTCTACATATGGATGCCTCAGAAGGCCACAGACTTTCCGGCATTTGAACTCCTATTCAGAAGGCAAATGAGCAGGGAGTACAAGATTGCTGGCACTGAGGATTATGTGCTGAGGTTCCAGGATAAAATAGAGAACCTGGTTGGGATGATACAGGAGAACGTGTCACAGGCTCAGCTCAGAAAATAATGCAGCAGCAACCACTTTGCCAGAGAGCAGACGGACAATGTGTTTCAGAAGGGGTGTATGCTCTATTCCTATGTGGCAGCAATAAATAAAGGCAGCATATCCAGTCACAAAGTGCACGAAAACATGAATGATGTTGCCTATGCGGCAAGTTTGGAAGAAGGAGATAGACAGAAAACACTCCAGTGAGAAAAAGATCTCAAACACACCATGAAAGCACAGCATATGTAATACCATTTTGTAGCCAACCTAAACAGGAAGAAATAGACCTACTGTTAGACTTGTTAGCTGACACTGGAGAATTGGGAGCAGACATCAAGAACATCTCACACCTCTCTTCCACACAGGAAACTGGAGGTGCTTTCAGTAAACAATAACACTGTTCAACAAATTTTTATTTTTTGCCAGTTTTGGAAACAAAAGGATCCATTTCTTAATGAATTTCACATTCTGAGTTCAAATATAACAATGAAATTTGGCAATTGGCTCTAGTTTTTCTGTAAACGGAAAGTTTTCTACTATAGGCGTAATGACTACATAATGCACAATAATTATATAGATAGATGTCTTTCCACAAATATAAAGCAAGTGATATTGACTACATAACAAAGCCTAAATGGCATAATATATTGCATAGGATTACCAAGAAAAATTATAGCCATAAGCTAAGTTGAATCATTTTAATACTTAGGATTCTCACTAGTTTTGTCTTCAGTTTGTGTCGGTTTTGCTTCTCTTGGCTTTTCTCTTGTATTCGAGGAAAGGGCTATCTCTTACAACTGCACGTGACTACACGCTTCAGGTTCTTCCTCACTTGACTCAACCACGAAGGATTCTGGTGCTTTAGGAATTGTTAGCCCCTCTCCATGAGGAACTGGACGTATTGCCGATGGAATATTTGGATAGTGCACAGATAACTTTTTCTTCTTATTTAGCCCTTTTACAATTGGAGGCACCATACAAAAGTAACAATTACTAACATGATCTGTTGGCTCTCTCCAAATCATTGGCACAGCGAAAGGCATAGATGCCTTTTTTCCATTCAACCATTGCTCCAGTGCCGTCCCACAAGAATTGCAGCATATATGTGGTGCCCAGCTCTTGTCCTGGTCTCCTATCTTGCAGCCAAAATACAAGTTGTAGGCTTTCTTAATCATTCCTGTTATCCTCCTTTTTTGTGAGATAAAAGTTATTTCACCGCAGATATAGCAGAAATTATCTGCTTTATTCACACAAGTTCGAGGCATTACTGAGTAGCCTATATAAGCATAAAACGAAATGTAAAGACGCTGTCGAACTACAATCAGCTACAGATACTGCAGCTTTTATGCAGTGAAGTGATGCAATTAAAGGCTAATATTGCATCATCTCAGTATACATGCAATTTTCTATTGGTCACCAGTATCAATTGCGCAATATGCAGCTGAAGTTGCATCATAATTTTGAATGGCTTACGTCATTAGATGGGTGAATATATCATGGAAACTAGAGCCAATCAACATTTTTTAGGGTCATTTTCGTTTTTAGCACCCCAAAATTATGTAAGATTAGCTAATTTTATGCCCAAAACTTTTTACCTGTTGAACAGTGTAATCTGTTCACTGGGAAACAAGAGTTCTGGTTCCCAAAAAGGATTGGACAACCAGGTTCTGCAGGGACTATAGAAAGCGTAATACCATTGCTGCTGCTGATCCTTGCTTCATGCCCCAGGTCGATGAACTGTTGAATCAACTGGTGGCCACCTGCTATTTTACAGTCATAGACCGAGCAGGAGGTAATCACAAATTCCCTTAGTAATGGGAAAATCCTTTTAGATCATTGTAGTTCACAGTAATGCTGTTTAGGATGATGGTGATACCAACCACCTTTTCAGAGGGTTGCGAATGACCTGCTGGAAAGGCAGGAAGCATTTGCAGTTGCCTACTTGGATAACATTGCTTTGTTCAGCTTACCTTACAAGAACACATCACATTTTGTAACAAGTCATAGACAAAATGGCACCAGCTATCTGACAGTCAAATTCAGTTCAAGTGAAAGTAAAATCTTCCAAGATACTCAGTTGCTGTTACAATCTTCACCGACTGCTGTCATCTTCTCCCTAAGTTTTGTTTTGTGTTTTTTTTCCGCAGGGCTGAGTTTTGTTTTACTTGATTGGCTTTATTGGCTGGCTGGGGATAACTTTATCCCCCTTGGCTTGCATGTGCTTGGGAGTTGGTCATTCCAGCATAGTCGCAGTGTGTCTGGAATGGACACAAAACTGTGCATGCGCAGCTCAGTGTACATAAAGTAGATAACTGAGCAGACAGGTAAGTGTGCTTTATTACAAAAGAGACAGCATGCCTCTGCAATAAAGGGCTGCCTGCTTGCAATTTTTTTTTATATTTGTAAGTTTAGTCCCACTTAAGTGTTAAACAGGCATAACAAAAGTCTCATACTTTGGACACAAGGTAGGAGCGGGGCACCTTTGTTTCAGTATATGGTTTGCTGCTGTAAAAGATGAGCATGTCACAGACCAGCATAACGATAGAAAGTTCCAAATTGGTGGACATATTCTACATCTCCCATGTGCATCTCACAAAGGAGTTTCCTCTAGACCAGCTGTTTTTTAGATTTCACTGGAAAACCAGTTGTATGCTTATTAGCAATGTAATCTGCTGTCTTTGTAAATTTTTTCACTTATTTTAGTGTTAATATCTAAGTTTTTTTTTTTTTTTTGTTCTGTGTATTTGTGGCCAAATATTTATAGCATAGGGATAGGGTTAGAACCTTCTGACGAGAATTTATTGTGGTCTGTAAACCACCCCCATCATGGCAGTTAAGCCACACAGCTACTTTATAAGTCAGCTCTGGTGTGAAGTGTTTAGATTCTAGGAGCATTTATTCAAAATCTTAGCAAGACTTAAAAGCTAAAAATTCCTTTGAGCCATCGATAGTAGTAATTATTGCCAAAACATCTTGGATTGTGTAGGAGAAGGTCTGTTGTTAATCCAGCAGACTCCATAAAGAGGAAATTACTGCATAACCAAGGACAGTACAGAGAAAACAAATGCATGCAGTGAGGAATTTCCCAGAGGATTCCTGTTAAATAAAAAGACAAAACCAAGCACAGAATAAAATGGCTGCTCCTTTGTAGATCTAAATCATAACTGGGTAATAATTTGTTAAAGCACTGTGTGTTATAAACTGCAATTGCTATTTTCTTGTCTTGTTCATGTCTACATGCATTCATTCCAGCGTTGGCTGCAAGTTATTGTACCGGCTAATGGCAATGTGTGTTGGCTCTACCACTTGGAGTTACCTTCTGAAATATGGTATTGCATTTCATGGGTTGCTTACTATACAGGTTAAAGTAATTTCAGAAAGTTAGGTATAAAACACAAGTCATGGTGCACCTACATTTCTTTTCTGCATGAAGATGAACAGCTTGTGGTCCTTTTTTCTTTTTTTAATAACCTAGCTTCATTATGCACAAGACAGGCAAGGGTAGTACATTGCCTTTTTGTCTGGTTACATGTCTATATGTGTGCAGATGTGCTCATTCTAGTTAATTTTTATGTATTTTCTTTAAATTGTAGGTGTCCTAGGTTGATCACCTGCATTTGATAGTTGAAAAATATGGTGTATGTGTGTGTTTATTTGTATATGTGTCTGTGTGTATATGTATGTGTGTGTATATATATATAATTTTTTTTTTTTAAGAAAAATGCTTATGGAATCCTTTTTGTGGTCTGTTTTTATTGCAGTTTCTGCCACTGCCTTCTACAAAGCACAACCAGTTATCCAGTTCATGTGTGAAGTTCTAGATATCCATAACATAGATGAACAACCACGACCTCTGACCGATTCTCACCGGGTAAAATTCACCAAAGAGATTAAGGGTATGTGGCTAAAACGTCTCAAACCTAGACTTTATTGACCTTGTACAAGAATAATTTATGACAGGAAAATGGCAGTCTGCACATAGAATTGTTTGGAAGGTATGTACAAGAACTTTGCAGTCATCATATTGAACAAGACTTTGCCAAACACATGTAACATAGTGGTTGCGTCTTTACTGCATTTCTACACTACATCAGTAATTCAGCTTGTTTAAGTTGAGAACAAAAGTGACAAGTATCACCCTGATCCTCCTCTTCTTGGATCCTCCGCTGGCGCTCCTGGCCTCTCTCCCTTGCTGAGTGCCCTCAAACATAACTCATAACCTCGACCCCGACCCTGTCCCCTGCTCACTCCTCGCTTACTGTGATTGGCACAGGAGGCAGAGACCCAGGAGGTCTTCTGCTCTCGTGCACAGATCAGGATCTGATTCAGGTGAGTATAAGAGAGGGGGAGCTGCACACTGAAGTCTTTTTACCTTCATACATAGAATACATGAAGGTAAAAATCCTTCAGCTGTTAGAATCATTTTAACTTTGTAAGGTAGGTTTTATTATTACTTGTTTTTTCTAACTAAATAAATGGATTTTATTTGTTGGTACAGGTCTGAAGGTTGAAGTGACTCATTGTGGAACAATGAGACGGAAATACCGTGTTTGTAATGTGACAAGGAGGCCTGCCAGCCATCAAACGTAAGTATGCTGTATTCCATATCAACCTGAAGAGAATTGCAGACAGATAAGTGTGTGTGTGTGTGTGTGTGTGTGTGTATGTATGTATGTATATACAATCATGGCCAAAAATATTGGCACCCCTGCATTTCTGTCAGATAATGCACCCAGAATATTTATGCAATTACGACTGTTGTAGGCATTCTCGTGTTTATTTCTTTTATTTGTATTGTTATGACACACAAAAAGTGGAGAAACAAAAAGCCTGACACATTCCATGCAAACTCCAAAAATGGACTGGACATAATTATTGGCACCTTCTTAAAATTGTAAGAAATAAATGCATTCCAAGTTTGTGATGCTCCTGTAATTTGTAATCAAACTCACCTGTGTCAATTAATAGGTGCTGACAATATAGAAATCACACCGGCAAGCAGTTAAAATGGTGAAAAATCAACTCAACCTTTCTGTTGTGTGTGTCTATGTGCCACATGGAGCATGGAGAAGAGAAAGAGCAGCAAAGAATTTCTGAGGATTTGTGAACAAAATTTGTGGAAAAGCATGGACAATCTCAAGGTTACAAGTCCATCTCCAGAGATCTTAATGTTCTTGTGCCCGTTGTGCGCAACATAGTGAAGAAGTTTACAGCACATAGCACTGTAACTAATCTCCCTGGACCTGGACAAGAAAAACATTGATCAAAGATTGCAACGAAGGATTGTTCGAATGATGGCTAAAGAACCTCGATCAACTTCCAGACAAATTCAAACTGACCTTCAGGCACAGGGTACAACTGTGTCAGCTTGCACTATATGTCCCTATCTGAATGAAAAGGGACGCTATGGTAGGAGACCCAGGAAGACCCCACTGCTAACACAGACATGTAAAAAAGCCATATTGGAGTTTGCCAAAACTTACCTGAGGAGGCCAAAATCCTTTTGGGAGAATGTGTTGTTGACAGACGAAACAAAATTAAGCTTTTTTGCAAAGCCCATCATTCTACTGTTTTCAGAAAAGAAATGAGCCCTTTAAAGAAAAGAATACAGTCCCTACAGTCAAACATGGTGGAGGTTCACTGATGTTTTGGGGTTGCTTTGACTGTGCATGGCATTATGAAATCTGAAGACTACCAAAGAATTCTGGGGTGCAATGTAGGGCCCAATGTCAGAAAGTTGGATCTCCATCAGAGGTCATGGATCTTACAGCAGGGTAATGACCCAAAACAAACGTCAAAAAGCACCCAGAAATAGTTTCAAAACAAAGCACTGGAGAGTATTTATTATTATTATTATTATACAGTATTTATAAAGCGTCAACAGTTCGCTCAGCGCTGTACATTACAAAGGGAGACAGAACATGCGACAGTACAATAACAATACAATGTGATACACGAGGGGTTCGAGGGCCCCGCTCCTTCGAGCTTACAATCTAGGAGGGAGGGGATAGTGGTACAGGAGGAGATAGCTGTGGGGGATGCGGTGGTAGGTGGAGTAGAGGAGGTTGGCAATTAGCAGGGGGTGGGGTAGGCTTCCCTGAAGAGGTGGGTTTTCAGGGTGCGCCTAAAGGAGAGGAGAGTAGGTGATAGTCTGATGGATTGGGGTAGGGAGTTCCAGAGGATGGGTGACGCCCTGGAGAAATCCTGGAGGCGTGCATTGGAGGAGGAGACCAGGAAACTAGAGAGAAGGAGGTCTTGTGAGGAGCGGAGTGTGTGTTGGGTGGTACTTGGATATTAGGTAGGTGATGTAATTTGGGGCCGTATGATGGACAGCTTTGTACGTCAGTGTTAGGTTTTTGAATTTGATCCGTTGTGCAATTGGAAGCCAGTGGAGGGATTGGCAGAGGGGGGGTGGCGGAAAAGGAGCGGTTGGTAAGGTGAATGAGTCTGGCTGCCGTATTCAAGATCGACTGAAGCGGGGATAGCCTGTGGCGAGTCAGGCCAGTGAGGAGGGAGTTGCAGTAGTCCAGTCGTGATATGAGGGAGTGGATGAGCTGTTAAGTGGTTTCTGGGGTTAGGAACGTGCGAATTTTGGCAATGTTGCGGAGGTGGAGTCTGCATGAGTTTGTTAGTGATTGGACTTGGGGCTGGAAGGATAGGTTGGGGTCCAGAATGACACCAAGTACTCTGGCCTGCGGGGCGGGCCTGATAGTGGCATTGTTGGATGTGATGGAGAAGTCAATGGGGGGTGGTGTGCGGGTTGGGGGAGAAGACTAGGAGCTCAGTTTTGGAGAGGTTCAGTTTAAGGAAGTGGAGCGACATCCAATCTGATATGTCGTTTAGTAGGTTTGTGATTCAGGCGGAGACTGAGGGGGTAAGGCGAGGGGTTGAGAGTTAATTTGTGTGTCGTCGGCATAGAGGTGGTATTTGAAGCCGTGAGAGTGTATGAGTTGGCCAAGGGAGGAGGTGTAGATAGAGAAGAGAAGGGGCCCGAGGACGGAGCCTTGAGGGACCCCAACAGAGAGGGGGAGTAAGGGGTAACGCTGAAGGAGCGTTGTGATAGGTAGGAGGAGAGCCAGGAGAGAGTGTAATCTCTGAGGCCGAGGGAGTGTAGTTTTTTGAGGAGGAGGGGGTGGTCGACTGTGTCGAAGGCCACGGATAGGTCGAGGAGTAGGAGCACTGAGAAGTGGCCATTAGCTTTGGCGGTTAGAATGTCGTTGGAGTGTTTGAGTAAGGCAGTTTCGGTGGAGTGTAGGGGACGGAAGCTGGACTGTAGGGGATCGAGGAGGTTGTTGTTGTTGAGGTGAGAGCTTAGACGATTGTAGAATAAGCGCTCGAGGAGTTTGGATGTGAATGGGAACAGGGAAATGGGTCTGAGGTTGTTCGGGTCATTGGGGTCCAGGGAGGGCTTGTTAAGTATGGGAGTGATGTGCGCATGCTTCAGAGGGGAGGGGAATGCGCCGGAAGAGAGGGAGAGATTAAAGATGTGGGTGAGGGAGCGTAGGATGGAGGGGGAGGGAGGTCGTAGGAGTTGTGAGGGGATAGGGTCGAGGGGGCAGGTGGTGAGTCGGGCATCAGAGAAGACCTTGGTGACCTCCTCGATGGTAGTTAGGTCGAAGGTGTGGAGTGTTAAGGGGGCTTTAGTGTGAGGAATGTTAGGTGGGGTGGAGGTCAGAGCAGTGGTGAGGGAGAGGAGTGATGAGGGGGTAGCTGTGTGAGAGGGGACGGGTTTGGAGGGAGTTTGAGCAGCGGCAATGTCCCTGCAAATTGTGTCAATCTTGTCTTTGAAGTGATTGGCAATCTCAATGGTGGTGAGTGAGGTGCTGGGTGGAGGTGGGGGCAGAGAGTTAAAGGTGGAGAAGCGTTGGTGAGGATTGGAGGAGAGGGTCTTGATGAGGGTCAGAAAGTAGGCTTGTTTGGCAGCGTGGAGGGAGGAGGTGTAGGCGTGGAAGGCAGATTTATAGCGGGTGAAGGCTTGTTGGGATCTGGTTTTGCACCATAGTCGCTCCAGGGCACAAGTGTGTCGTTTGAGATTTTTGGTGTGATCAGTCTGCCAGGGCTGGAGCGGTCGGGGTCTGATGTTTCGTGTGGTTAAAGGCGCTAGTGAGTCAAGGGCAGTTGACAGTGAGTTGTTATAGGCAGTCATAGCCAGGTCGGGGCAGGACAGGGGGAGGATGCTATCATGGAGTTGATCAGCTGCAGAGTGGAGGGGGGCAGGGTCCAGGTTGCGGAGGTTTCGGCTGGTAGTAGTATGACATTTGGAGGGGTAGGTGTTAGAGGACGAGGAGACAGAGAAGGTAATAAGGTTGTGGTCAGAGAGAGGGATGGAGGTGTTTGTGAAGTTGTGGGGAGCGCAGAGGTGGGAGAAGACAAGGTCCAGGATATTTCCGTCGGAGTGGGTGGTGGATTGTATGCACTGTACTGAACTTGCCAGCAATGAGCCCAGATCTCAATCCCATAGGGCACCTGTGCGAGATCTCGGGAGCAGTTGGCTAAAGAAGAGTAGTCTAAAATTCCAGTAGAGAGGTGTAAGAAACACATTGATGGTTACAGGAAGTGATTGATTTCAGTTATTTTTTCCAAGGGGTGTGCTGCCAAATATTAAATTGAGGGTGCAACTTTACATCGTTGGTACCTAGAGAGATAAAATATCTGGCACCCCACCCACAAATGCCACTTTCCAAGCTGTGCTGATGATGTGCTAAAAAACAATTTGCAGGGCTATAGTTTTTGTTTTTTTTTGTAACCCAGCTTCCCTCTGGAAAATTGTTTTTTTTTTTTTCCATACACATTAACACCTTGGTCACATCGGGTGCGATATGCATGCCATGAGACTTGCAAATCGTATGCCAGGTCGCACCCTGTTGTCCGCAATTACAGCGGTCAAAATGGTGTGGTTCCGACTTGGTTGGAACCGCACAGATTTCTAAAGTTGTACATATACTACTTTTGGTGTTATTTGCATAGACGTTTGTGTCAGATGTCTTGCAAATCGCACCTGAAATCGACATCTCACCCGACTTTGAAATCGTGCGACTTCACTGTAAGACGCATGATTTCAGTATCGGGCTTGATGTGACCGTGGGGTAAGTAAACCTCCAAATGATTTTATATTTTCTGAATACAGAGGCCCTGTAATTTTTTAATGTAGGCATGATATTTGTGCAATGGTTTATCAAATCTATATTTTCAGTTTGAAAAAAACCCACACTTTATTGCACACAAACACAATATAATTCCCAGTTTGTGCGTGTGTACAGTATCTCAGAAGTGAGTACACCCCTCACATTTTTGAAAATATTTTATTATACCTTTTCATGTGACAACACTGAAGAAATGACACTTTTCTAGAATGTTAAGTAGTGAGTGTACAGCTTGTATAACCGTGTAAATTTGCTGTCCCCTCAAATAACTCAGCACACAGCCATTAATGTCTAAACCTCTGGCAACAAAAGTGCGTAGACCCCTAAGTGAAAATGTCCAAATTGGGCCCAATTAGCCATTTTCCCTTCCCTGTGTCATGTGACTTGTTAGTGTTACAAGGTTTCAGGTGTGAATGGGGAGCAGGTGTGTTAAATTTGGTGTT